TGGACCCTACATTAGAATGACGGTTCGATTCCTCATTAAATGTTGTTGTGGGAGACATATGAGAATTTTTTAGTATGTGAATTATCGAAGGAAATCTAAACGTGGACTTGTGCTTTGTTAGGCGGTGATAGAACGTGATGCCTTGACTATCGTGCTAGGGTACATTAGCACGGACTCCAGGTGAGTGACTTTAATATATGTGATATTGGTAATTACCAGGTTGTCATAATTATGATCATGTGTGGATATGAATTGGTTTTATGAATATGTTCTATTGAATGGTTATTCCAATACTTCGACATCAATTTATGTTTATGAACTGGGATGTGGCATGTATATTGGAAATGTGGTTTGATTTGTATGATTGGCATGTTGAGATTAATGTGAGGACTAGTAATGACTGTGAACCATTATGATAGGGATTTGTTGCTTCGATATTTTTTTCACCTTCCACTTCGGTGATTGGTTCTAAATTTAGTAATTGTTCCTAATTTCCCTTTGTTGAGTTTTTGTAAATTAAGTAGTCTGTGCTTGTCTCATTTCTTTGAGCCGTCATACATTCCAGTTGTTAGTCTTATGCGATTCCGTTGAATGATGGTCCGGAATTGTATCCACTCGGATTCCGTTGAGAGATGGTCTGGAATCCCTTATATTCTGCGATTCCGTTGAGTGATGTTCCGGAATCGTATCTAACTTGAGTTTCATTTAGTTATTGTTATGTATTGTACTTAGCGATTCCGTTGAGTAAGGGTCCGGAATCGTATCCACTCAGATTCCATTGAGCGATGGTCCGGAATCCCTCATATTTCGTGATTCTGTTGAGTGAAGGTCCGGGATCTTACTCACCTTGGGATTTATTGAATTTGAATTGAGATGGCTTCAAAGGGGTAGGCTTCGGCAAAACTGTGTCGCTCTAACTCTACTTTTCATTGTGTTGTATGAGAAAATGGTTGTGAGATGTTGTGATTGGTTTTAGATGAACCGTTGGATGTCTGGGTGACTCCTTCGGGGTTTGCAAAAGTTGATATTGATTTCTTATGAATGATTTATATTCAAGATATGTAAACTGTGTTTGATGGTTGGCATTAACATTATTCTCACATACTTGATATTATTGTCACTCTCATAAGCTTCGCAACTTATCCAGGTTGTTGTTTGCCTGGTGCACCATTCTGATGGTGTAGGCACTGATCGTATAGGTGACAGGTTTGAGTAGACTCCATGAAGTTTGTAGGTGGGGGTAGCAGTGCAGTTATCAGAGACTTTGAGCGTTAGGTTACCCTTGTTTCACTCTTGTACTTTATCTTTTGGGACTTTCTTTTGAGCACCTCATACGTGTTCTTAGTAAAGCAAAGATTATGCTTCTTTTTGGGATGTACATATTTGTAAATATTTTGTGGAGAACTTAGCCACCTGCATATTATTTTGGGTTATCAGTTAAAGTATTTCATTCCGTAACTTATACTGTATTCAACAAGCATTATTTCCTTGTCACTTGTCGATTTTCAACGTATGTTGGGATCGGGACGTGACAGAAATAATCCCTAGCTACGGGCTAAGGGACACTGAGCAGGCATTGGGCCGGGAGTTGGTAATCTCTGGCTATGGGTGCAGAGACCACGGTGCTGGCATAGGGCCGGGAGATATATATTTATTCAGTGATCTTACTAGTAGTACGTTACGCTAAGAGACGATTTATGAGACGTGTGATATTTTGTGTTCCACGATATGTCTCTTGAGATATTTTTGGCATGCTAAGATTCTCATTAAACTGTAGGGGTTAGTATCTTGATAACTGTTTTATTATTATTATATATATGAACTTGGTCCACTCACCTTTGTTTTGAACCCCTATTCAAGTCTTAGAAACGAGGACTACGACACAACGTACGAGGCATTCCCCTACCAGTAGTAGTCTATCACTCACATGAGTGATATCTTGTAATGACCTTTCCTTTTGTGATATTGTTTTAGATTGTATTCTGTGCACTCTAGACACTTCCTTAAACTTTATTTTTTACTTCTAGATTCTAATGATTATTCATGCTTATGTTCCTTCTAATCATTACTCTTGTATTCAGTAAATGGCTTTCGTCACCCTTAGGTGTCGGCTAGCACATGCCTATTCGGGTATTCGGGGAATATCGGGGTCGGGATGTGTCAACTTCCCACCGTGGTTAATTTTAAGAGTAAATAATTCAGGCACGCCTACAAAGTCAAGGAAAAAGGTTTTAAAACCCAAAAAGTTAACCCATGACCATGAGGACAAAAAGGTGAAAACAAAACCATGGGGACCATGAATACATGGTTTTTTAAAGGCTGCAATTGAGACCACGAATGAAGACAAAACCACATGCACATTGAAAACAATTAACAATGCAGGAAACCCACTACAAAACACAATTCCATAAACCATAAAAAAAATAAAAAAAAATAAAAAAAGGGATTGCAACTCACAATTCCCTAAAATTCAAAATTGGAAAATTGGAAAACCAAAACCCATATTATCTACACTTTGAAAAAGGTAGGTTACTTACAATAAACTAGTGTTTCAGCTACTTCAATCCTCCTTTTTTACCACCACATTGTCAGCGATGGCTTCATGACAATCTTGCCTAGAAATGGTGCCCCTTCTTTGATATGCAAAGGTGTGCGCAACGTATGATGGCATGCGACCGACATTGAGTTGGATCGACGACGAGGTGGAGTGATGGCGAGGTTGAGCGACGGTGAGTTGGACCGACAGCGAGGTGGACTGACGACGAGTTGGTAGGGTTTCAGATAGAGATGGGGGATCGAGATTTTTGGGGATGTGGGCTTCGAGTGAAAAGTGGTTTTCACTTTTAATTGTTCCCATTCTAAATTTTGAATTTTGAAATTTTGGTTTTTTTTTTTTAAATTTCAATTTCCATGTGGACCCTTAGTGACACGTGGCACCCAGTCATTGTCCACATGGGCGCCACAACATCAGTTAAAGGGAGACTTAAAAGCCAGACTAACGGATGTATGAGACTGTCCCAAAATTAACACTTTAGGCATGGCTCTGGGATGAAAAAAAACCTCATGTACTAAATGTTGAAAACCACAAAACTTAAGGGTAATAAACTGAGATTTACCCTATAATTAAATTAATCGCAAGAGCACGAATCAATACTCGATGGTAATATAGATATGCAAGCACGAGGATATCAAAACCAACACCTAATACTCCTAGCCCCAATATTCTAATTATTAGCCATTGAAATTCTTATTTATGTTAAAATTTTCGTACACAAGTCTTATTGGTCTCGTCATGTGTCATAGTTCTACAAAAGTATGAATTCCAACTTACTTGTCCATTGAGACTCTTGTAGCCTTATTAGGCCATCTTTAATTGAAGAGGGTCAAAGGGATATGTTTAGCCTTATAGTCTTGTAAGAAATTATATTTTAAAGAATGTTGTCAGACCATATTTTATACCATCTTCAATCGAGAGGGCCAAATGGTCATATGCTAAACATAGCTCCCTTAATCATTTATTATTTTAATTGAATTATTATAATTAATTAAAGTAAACTACCATATTAAAATAAGATTTTTGGACATATTTTGAGTGTCACTTGTCGCCAAATGAATAAGCCTCCGAATTTCTTATCTTTATATAATCTCAATAATTTTTCGGATATGATTTCGAGTGACATGTGTCTCTAACATGAGTAACTCTCCAGATTTGTAGGATTGAATGGTGAAAAGGATGTGAGAAATGGTGTAAGAATGGCTTAAGTATTTATAGGAAAAAAATTAGAATTTTTTTTTTAAATTTGTCCAAAAAAAAAAATCAAATTCCAACAGTAACCTTACGTCAGCTAACCATTGCTAGCTAACGCCAGGTAACCGTTGGCATTCAAATGGGCTGGGATGGAGGGTTGGCAGGAAATGACCATCCCACTGGCCTAATTTTGGTTTTTTTGGCCCGGTGGGGCCCACAAGCCCATTGGCCTAACTCTCGATTGGAGACAATTTTCATGTCATCATTTCGAGTTATTTTTAGCCCTTTGACCATTTGGTCAAGTCAGTTGGAGATGGCCTTAAGTCCTACCTCACTTTTTGGTTTGGTTCAAGCAAAACATGTAAAATTCCACTAAGCATAGAGAACAGAGAACATACAAATAAGACGAATATCCAACTCTTTCGAGCATTTACATATTCTAAATTTACAACTCCTAATTATATGGCACTTTAGAAAATATCTACTCTTTGGTTCAAGCCTCATGCATTCCCTACCAAATAATCTACTTTGTAAGCTTCAAAGATCATGTAAATAGATTGATAAAATGGTGATTAAGAATTTAACAATAGACCAAAACCCAATAGGTTGGCAATTAAAATTAAAGGATATTCATACAAAGGGCTTCATCTAAGCTCTAGCAAAATAAATATTTTCAAGTAAAAGTAAAAGAAAGATAAAACCTGGAATCTATGACAATGCATGTCTCAGACTCTCAAGCTCTTCTTCTCTCTAATACTTGAGTATTGTATATTGAATATAGTGATCTTGTAGAGAGCTTAGGCATGCCTTATATCGTAGAGAATAACAAAAACCTCTATAAAAAGGTCTAAGAAAACTCTCTTGAAACAAAACAAGGTCCTAAAACAAGCTAGGAAAGAACTCCTTGACTTGGGACATACCAGCCATTTTGCACGCTAGATTTGGAGGGTCGTTCCACCTTTTAAAACTTCTGGAAAATTATGGAAAACATAGATTTCGTGATAGTAAAGACAAAATATTCTTAAACGGGGATATACATCGCTAAATATTTAAATTTCTCGCCATAGTAAGGACAAATTTAGTGATCAAAATTGGGTTAGTTTGCGAGAATCGGAGAATATTGCCAAAAAGGCTTTATAGAGAGAAAAATGATTTCTCGCTACAGATTCCTTAATTTGCTGAAAGAACCATTTGTTGTAATGTATATTATGACACATGGTGTACTACATGACATGTTTCGGATACACATAAAAAATTTATCCATTTGAGATGTATAAGAGAAAATAATCAATTATTAATTATAAGAAAAAAAATTAAAGAGACCTATAACTAATAAATACAAATCATCCCTACCTATTTTACATTGCAATAATCAATCTTAATTAAAGTGCTTGATTCCTACATATAGAAATGAAACTCACCTATACTTACGTGTGAGTAGGAGTATTAAGGGCGTAAGATGGGTGTTGTACACGTATTAGATGATTTCTTCTTTCTTGATTACCATTTGACATTTGTCATTTGCCAAATACATGCAGTTTATACGTGCCAATTTAGCAGGTAGGAAAAGTTTTCCACAACAAAACATGCAGGTAGTGGTTCTTCTCTAAAAACACTATATCCCAGTGATCCGGAACTTTCCCAATACCAAACCCAAAAAATGGCGAGAGAAAAGAAAGGAAATCCAAAGAAAAGAACAGAAGGCAGTGCAACAATCAGCAGCAAAAACAAAGAGAAAAGAGAAGAAGGATGCAACAAATTCCTACAACTTCCAAAGGCTTTGATCGTGGAGATTCTCTCAAGGGTATTGTCCATCAAAACCCTCCTGAATTGCAGGTGCGTTTGCAAAGAGTGGCTTTCCTTAATTTTCGACCCCGAATTTACTCGTCTCCACGCTTCAAGATCACCCATTGGCATCTTGATCAAGACCTATCCCCCTATAAGAAAATCTAGGAGACTTGATTTCACCCATATACTAGATTCTGCTGGTTCTGATTTGCAGCTCGAGAAAATAAGGTTTAGTCCCAAAAATAGCCTGCCCATCGGGGCCATGCCCGAATTTCGCTTGATAAACTCATGCAATGGCTTACTTTGCTTTTCTGGAGCTAATAGAGATTACCCCTGTTTTGTGTGCAATCCGATATTAGGTGAGTATATTACTATCCCACATACTGATAACACTCGAAATCGAAATAGTTGCTTTTTCGTTGGACTTGGTTTTAGCTCCGCGATGAATGAATATAAGGTGTTGCGAATGACCAATGGGACGGAGGCTGAGGTTTACACCATTGGTTCGGGAGTGTGGAGAAGTATTGGAAATGCTCCTGGAGACATTGATCAGTTGCCATTCAATGCTTTTCTGCATGGAGCGCTTCATTGGGTTTCATATAGTAGTAAAAGTCCCGAGTTTATACACTCTTTCGACTTTGAAACAGAACAGTTTCGACCCCTACCCGTCCCTAGCTTACCCGTGAATCAATTTTCGGATTGTTTCCTTTTGGAAGTGATAGGAGGCTGTCTCCATTTGTGTGTGTTTGGGGATGATTGTAGTAAATTTGACATGTGGGTAATGAAGGAATACGGTGTCCAAAAGTCTTGGACTAAAGTTCTTGTTTTCGAAAAACTGTACGATTGTGTAGAGGAACTGTGCTGTGATGTGTATGAACCAATTATGTATTTGAGTAATGGGGAAATCCTGATGTTATACAATAACCGCGCTATAGTTTGTTATAATGGAGAAAGAAAGAGTTTCAGGGAAATAAAGATTACTTGGACTCAGGCGCCCTTCGAGGCAATTGCCTACAGTCCATCCTTTGTTTCACTCTACAATGTCTCAAATGGTGAAGATATGAAGAGGTACTAAGTTTACATTCCAAATATAGACATGTAGTAACCTAGTTACATTTCTTTACTGCGACTTTTATTTTTCGCTTTCTGCATGTGGAATTTAATGTTTCTTAGGCAAATCCAACCTTCGAATTTAATGTCTAATTATCTTCTTGAGTCCTTAGCACTTCTACATTCCTAATACTATTTGAACACCTTTGAGAAGAAAAAGATAACATGTTATTCATATTGCTCATAATACATGTAACAAGTTCACTGCCTATTATCTATTGAGACATTAAGTATAATTTTTCAAAATTTCTCATCATGAGCCCACTGGGGTAGCCCATTGGTGAAGGTGGGTAGGACGATGTACAGGAGCAGGTTAAGTCAAGTGTTCCACTTACCCATGTATGCTTGACTGCTGTTCAGACAGAATTGACGATCAGTTTTGTTATTGTATATTTTGTTCAAGCATTTTGTTAGCTAGGAATTTGAAAAAATACACGGATGCTTCAATAGTGGTTGAGACATTGGTCACTGATACACTCTTTTTGGCATGCTTACCATGTGTGGCATGAAGGGTACAACGACATGAAAAATCGCTGTTTGCTGAAGGGAGTTACAATTCTGCCAGTTCTTGGATGCCACCCCGAAAGTACACAAAACTGAACTCAGGTTGTGGCTGTCCTTTTGAAGAGGATCTTCCTTGAGCCGTAAGTTCTTCAGCGCGTTGTCATAGTTCCTATTATGAATCTGTTTTCTTGTGCCTGTTTGATGGTTATTATATCCTTTTAATTTCGTTTCCTGAATGAATGCTGAATGATTTTGTTTCTTTTCAGCTGGATTTCACTGAGTGCATTCACTCTATATGATCGGCACTTGGGTTTTGTTGTAATAGTTAAGGGTTCCCAATTTCTCAACAATGTTTTGAGTAGCTCTTCTTCGATCTCTTCCACAGCAGAGAAAGAAGAAGACTGTCTTTTTGTTAAGTAGCCATCAGAAAAATTCTGCTTGTAAATGCAAGTGATGGCTTGTCTAGAGGACAACGGCGATCGGAAACTTTTGTTAACGTCTGTTTTATAGTAATGTGTAAGTGTGAGCTGGGGGTTGCCCATATGGTGTCAATCTAGCCTTTTTTGTATGAAACTCGAACGAGGGGTCTCTCGTTTTTATTCGTTCCTTTTCCCGTTGCTTTTCGCGACGAGTACTAAATGAAGAAGCTTTCTCTTCACCTCTTCCTTATATATCACACGAACTAAGACTAAATGTGTTTGAGCCAAAAAAAAGACGTACTTTGTTAAATATTTGCAACACATTTGCACAAAAATCGAAAATTTCAGTTATCAACTGCATTTTGATCCACTGAAACAGATTTATGATGATTACAAACTTATTTCATTCAGCTTTTGGAGCTACTCAAATACGATTTTTACCACCTGCAAAAGTAAGAATAAAAACACTTAAAATACTTAGTACAAGGTACTTGTAGTATAGTTAGCTCTAGCAATGTCATTTTTCACCTGGATTGAATGAATAATTTAGGTTAAAATCAATTTCTTGATATGATTTTTACCACATGCAAAAGTAAAAATAAAAAACACTTAAAAGACTTGCAAGAGTACAAAGTAATCATAGTAAAGTAATCGTAGTGTAGTCGGCTTTAGCAAGGTCGTTGTCCACAGAGATTGAATGAATAATTTATGTTAAAACCAAATCTTAATTAATTATTTGAAAACAAAGTTTAGAAAAGATGATTTTATAACCTAAAATATTAAAAACGAATTTAATTAAAAATAATTAAATAAATTGGTAAAGTAAATAAAACAAAAGAAAATAGTTTGAAGGTCTATTTAAGCATTAGGGTTCTGCCATCACCTTAATAATCCTACGTAGTTCTTCCAATTACTTATAAATTACTCATACATATTTTGAAAGTTAGGTTTTCCTAAATATGTCCTACTTGGAACCTCCAACATAGAACATATATCTAACATGCAACCCATCTGTGGTGTCCAGATCAAATGTGAACGTGCAAGACTCATTAAGTTTTGTGAAAACTTTTTGAAAAACCATATAACCCTTAAGACGTGTCGTTCATCCTAAGAAGTTACACATATTAACCACAAGAAGTCTTAGTCAATTTCAGGAACAATCCTCTGCCAAAATTGCATTAAATTACTTTTCTAAATATCCTAATGGTGGTCAATCATCAAGACAAATAGATGTTACAAACACAGTTTCAAAATCTGCATGCATAATATCATAAGTAAATTGGAAAGAGACTACATATTATTGCTAAGGCTCGTGGTCTCGCCCTAGCAAACGGAATTAGTTACGAACAATCATAAAATAAAATATTAGTAAGAACATGGATAGAAAACACAAACAATCAGAAACTCAATTTCAATCGAAATCGCAGTTGCGTTCCTTGTATACCCAACGACACTCTGATTCGAGCATGATGAGGAAAGAGAAGGAGAGGATGTGATCTAGGTTGGGTCATGCAGATCGGCTCGGCATCTAGCAGGACGAGGAAAGAAAGGGAGAGAACGTGATCTGGGTTCGGGAGATAGGGAAAGGACGCAAGCATTAGTGAGAGAACGAGAGAGAAGACAGGACGCGAGAGCACAGAGAGAGGGAAAAGGAGAGACATAGAGATGAGGAACAGCGAATGAGAAAACGTTGTGAGGAAAGAGTTCTTAGCAATCTCATGGTTCAACGTCGAACTAATTGGACAACCTAACGAGGCCTGGAGTCCAAACGAGTCCGGGTTAGTCTCATTAAGTTAGTCCCCAAGCATACCAAACATGGGACAATAATCCTAGCCAGTCCAATCCCACTTAAGAAGGTAAAACAAACACACCCTAAGATAACTAGGAAATACATTCATATTCTAACTTTGGAAAATCTGCCCAGCCACAAAGAATCCCACATTTCTGGATCTTCAAGGCTCTAAAATAGGCCCCAAATGACTAGAATTAAAGCTTGAGATGTCCCGAACATAATTGCAGAAGGCCTTGAACCCAAAAGATAGTGACAGTATTGCCGCAGCTCCTTTATTGCTTCACCAAAAATTATCCGCTTGGTAGAAAAACTTGAAACTTTGATACAAATAAGTTGAGAGACTCAAGAACATCCTCCAATTGGAATCATTTCAAAATTTGTCCGTTTGACCACTTTTTGCTCCAAAGGAAGTCGAATGTCCCACATTAGAAATATAAATCAAAGTATTAAAATTCTCACAAAATAACCAATAAATTAATACTAAGAATAAGGCAATATATAATATAATATCGACTCATCACCCACAAAAGTTTTGGAGCTCCCAACTTGTTTGGAATCTTTCGATTCAACTCTAGTGAGCCTTGGCGCAATGAAAATGTTGCTTTTTTATGACCAAAATGTCATGGATTCGAGTTGTAAAAATAGCCACTTTGCAAAGTAAGTGTAAGGTTGTGTATGATAGACGTTCATCCTCCATCCCTAATAAAGCAGGGAATCTTATTGACTTTTGGGGTCGTCCCTTTATCCTTTCTTGAGATATGCTCGATTGTATGTAAATAAATAAATACCAGTTTTTATTGCAGAAAAAAAAAAAAGCTTTTCTGATTCATTGGAGAGGTGGGGATGAGGCCGTGAGGTGGTAAGTAGAGTCAAATAAAAAGTTTTCTTGTAAATGAATATTTTGTTTATTTCTGCAATAAAAACTGAGATTTATTTATTTACATACAATTGTTATGAGTTTTTTTTTTTTTTTTTTTGACAGAAGGTAGAGCTCCTAATGATCCTAGAACGGACAGCAACCGTCGTCGGTCCCAATTATTTAGACCCTTCTCCAACTTTGCCGATATATTACTTGTAATAGTCTCATTTAACTAACTAATACAATGACTAACTATGATTAAGCTAATCAGGGTCATAACATTGCCTACCCCTTAAGAACAACCTTGTCTTCAAGGTTGAATGATTGAAAAACTTGTTTGAAACGAGCAGCAACTGAGTCTTCCAACATAAGCGTGGATTTCCTGTTTTTGTGAGGGGTGTGAGAATTCTTTTGAGCCAAAGCTGTGTTAACATCTCCAAAACAAGGGAGAGACTTGTTGATATAATGTGCTTCTTTCCTCCTATCTCCTGTAACTCTAGAATTTTCCACTTTTACGCTTCTCGTAAGGTCTACTAAATGAAGGCAATTGCGTGGAGTACCTCTAAAAGTATCTTTCCCCTTCACATGGACTATTAGGACACTATAGGAACAGCTGCTGCAGTCACTGAATGCGGATGAACTAACCATACAATTCATTTCACCAAATTTCATGAGCTTGAAGGCATCAATGGTAGACTTCATTAAATGCATCGTAGCATCTGAAATACTCCAACCATTATCCCCAGTGCGATTACTTCTCCTTAATTGGGCAATGAATAAGTCGTCTGTCAAAATCTGAACCATGTTGTATATTTTCTGATTCTCGTTCACCACCTTGTGATACCCAAGTGAGGCAGTAGACCACATCCCATGCATGTTTAGAAAGGATAATCCCATATTGAATTTGAGTAGAACAATGATTCCACTGTCATGGAAATTGAGGTAAGCAATGCCTACATTAGCATTTCTTGCACCTTCTTCAAGAATATCTATAATCTTAATGTTTTTGCACCATTTCACAAACTTATCCAAAAACTCCATTGACTGTAATTCAGTTTGTGTCAATTATAGACTCTAAATTCTCATTAGTAGTATACATTATAGCCAATATGAGCAATTGATATCGATTGTTCACAAAAGTTGAAGATCCCTGAAAATGGACAGGTGCATACATAAAAGCTTCCCGTGCATCAGTCTTGGTGGCATGGGTCTTGTCTGCAAGGATCATAGGCCTCCTAGAAGACACAATGCTTAAGCTTACCACCTGAGAGTTCGTAGTAATACATAGGTGTTTGCCATCTATCATCTCGAAGTCCACCAAATATATAGCACAACTGCAACAATCATTTACATCCACAACTCCCTTTTTTTCCAGCAGCATTTTGCAATGT